ATGGTCTGAAGGAAATAGTACAGCTAGGAGTGACCAGTAGATCTGACAGACCCACAATACCAGAGGGAAAGATCAGCATGGTCTGAAGGAAATAGTACAGCGAGGAATGACCAGTAGATCTGACAGACCCACAATACCAGAGGGAAAGATCAGCATGGTCTGAAGGAAATAGTACAGCTAGGAGTGACCAGTAGATCTGACAGACCCACAATACCAGAGGGAAAGGCCAGACGGCTACACAATCAGAAACTGATACTGGAGCCACTGGAATTGAAACCCTGTGATTGTTGCTGAAGCTGAGGACGAAATGCTTATGGAAATGTCCTTACCACATATCCCTAAGTTTATTCTAACCTGTTTAGTTCTCTCCCAAAACTACATTAGTGATTCTGCCATTCTTTTCCATTTGCTCGCTTCTGACGAGACACCACAGTTTCTTAACAATGGCATGACAAATATAATACAAATGGACTGAGGTTACGAGGACGTTCAAGAGGAACCCTAAGTAGAACGTTGCTGAGAAAGGCCAAAGATGCTGAACTGCAGTACATCCATGATATGGTAAGGATTGCAGAGGAACGAATGAAATATCGGACTAGAGTGCAAACCCCATGGGACGTCACATAGCACGATAGGGTAATGAAGATGATGATGATGACATATGGCATTTTCCCCTCTTATTCTTTCGTTCAGGTCCTTTTTAATTATATGACCAATGTAGAAATACATTAATGTAAACAACAATAACAACAACAACAATATGTCACCACGGTCTCGTTACCACTTCCCAAACCTCGAGATTGTAAAGGATGGATAATGGGCTGAAACAATTGTTAAAAGGGGACCCGCCTACGGATAGTCTGTAGACTGTTGAGTTGAACTATCTAATAGCTCGAGTCCGATGTAAGTGGAGTTGAGTCAAGAATTGACATCACAGCACTCGGAGCATTCCCATGCGAGCTTCGTCCTCATCTTCAGCAGCCGGCGCAGCGCTCCAATACTGATGGTACCGGTCACAATCTGCTAATATGTCCGTCTTGCCTTTCCTCTGAGTGTAGTGTAGACTGCCTCTGTGCATACTCCTGTTGTGGAGTTTCTTGTTATAATGGATCCCAAGTCAACCCAGACTAAATTAAGCACCGGTAAATGTCAGAAATGGCGAATACTGTTGGTGGGATGTTCATTACATCATCCACTTAGTGTTGATTTGTATATAAAAATATTACGCTAGCATCATACAAGGTCCGACAGTTAAGTAATGAGACTAATTCAACAAAAATTTAAATAATCAACAGTTGAAGACTAACCCATATCTGATTCAAAGTAAGCCCCTTGTGCACTGATACAGCAAGTGGCACCATCTAACAAAGACTGGAACGACCTCTGTAGTTCATCTGTTGTGATGACCCTTAAAGCCGATGTTACGGCCTTTTGGATGTCGTCGATATCGTTAAAGAAGCGACCTTTCAATCGTAACTTTAATTTTAGGAATAGAAATAATCACAGGGAGACAAATCTAGGGAATAGGGTGGAACGCAGAAAAAAAAAACCACACTTGTTTTTATGCCAAAAATTCTTGTTTTGATGATGTCTCTTGGGTACTCAATCTGCTGATGTTTTTGGTCAGCAGACAACGAATCTGGTACAAACCGGCAAGCAACTTTTTTTCTTGCCAAAATCTTGCACTGAAATGTTATGAAAAGTCTCTCTATTAACACCAGACTCATTTGCCATCATCCTCACAGTGAAACAATGATCTTCTTGTATCCGTTTTCTGACTTTTGCAACGAGTTCATCATTAGGAACAGGAATGTGGCGTCCAGGTCTAGGTGCATTAGTAATAATTTCCACACAATTTTTGAATTGTAAATACAACGTAAAAATTTGTGAACGAGATAATTATCCCCTTAAACTTGTTGCATCAATTCAACTTTTTCAATGGCACTTTTCTGAGTTGTTATCGCTTATCGTGCAGCGGTGAAAAGTTGCCATATCATAGATAATTGTTGCCTCTTTAGATTCCATGCTTTGCTTCATAGATGGCATTTTTGTCTGGGCCATAATAAAATCAGTCTCATTGCTTAATTGTCGGACCTTGTATGTTCGATGAGTCACTAATGAGAATAGGTTCTTTCACGGAAGGCTTCCTTACCTTTTCTCGGGTATAAATTACTATCCACTATATCTGCTGACAAATCACATGCTATTTTTTAGTGAGACAAGCTTGAGGTTGCCCCATCGATTGTCAACAACGGGTCAACGAATGCTTGGCCAAATGACCTTTAACCCTCAGTGGGGAACTATTGGCTGCTAGCACAAACCAGCACTGATCCAAATGTTTAAACGATAGCATGCGACATACATTCACAACATTGATGACTTACTGAACTAACAGAAAGAAACTGTGATTAGACGACACATGTTCTTCCTCTTCTGCCGCATGTCCTCCAATGGAGAACAGATCCTCAACCAACAAGCCCCAAATGGTCCTGTCTTTTGACATGAAAAAATAACCCGAAAAAGAAGCCAGCTGAACAACACTATATTATCGAATAGAAAAAAACTTAGGCCTAAAAATCTTCATCAGCATACAACCAAATCAGAAAATATTCAGTTACGTAAAAGAATACATGAAATATTGGCTTTTTCGCAAGGTGAAGCTTATGACAGTCTCAATCCTGACTTTAACAGTACACGTAATGCATTGTAGCCGTTCTGCCTCCCGTGAATACAAAGTGGCCTAGCGAGGTGGGAAGAGGAGAGGTTAGACTAAGGGATGTACTGTCAAACATTATCAGATAAATCTATATGAAATAATTTTTGAAAAATCAACAGAGAGATGTAAATCCTTTAGGAGAGAGAAATCATCAGAAAGACAGTTCTTAAGAGACTTGCAGACTCTTACAACAAAATGGATAAACTATACGGCTGTGAACTCCCTGTAAGAAATACCTTGGAGATTCTTAGAATTAAACTGGACAGAACATGGTTCTGCCCATTGGAAAAATGTTGTCTGAGCATGACCGATACAAGTTGCCTTGTTTCACCGATGTATTTCATGCCACAGATTTGGATGGGGATGATATATATTACGTGACAGTTCGTGTAAAAGAACGCCTCGCGTTGGAAACATTAAATGCTAGACTATTTTAACCACACATGGACAAGTCTTGAATATAGGTCTCTTGACTCTTGCCTAGAACGTCTCTAAGGCTACGTTAATGGCTGCAGGAATTTTGAGTGGGTCAGCATATTTGACGGAAAGGGAGTTCTGGAGAGACTGTTTTTTTTGGTACAGATGCGGTAAGGGTGGTAGGTAAAGGAAAAATGGGTCTGTTGGATAAGGTTTAGGTTTGGAAGTTAAGGTCTGAACACGAAAAATAGATTTACAAAATTGAGAAAAGCAGCACAGAAGATATGTTCAGTACACCCTCGAACCGAACACAAAACCAGGATCGCCGTAGCAACGCAAAGATTAAAAATCATTGAAAATCTGCGGCCAATAAAATCAAAATTAAATTTTTAAAGCATGAATCTAAGGATGTGAGTCTTGGAATATCTAGCAGTCATTATGGAAGAAAATAGGGACTTTTGAGCAGAAATGCCGTATCAAAGAGGAAGAGGAACACAATCATCATAAAAAGATTTAAACATCAAGGAAGAATGGCTAGTAAACATCTTGTCTAGGAGAAGGAAATATTGTAACTATATCAAGCCCTACGTCTGAAAAGAATAACAACAAAATGTATGGTACCGGGAAGTAGGAGAATCTTTGAGGCTGTAGAAACAGTATATATGTAATAAATAAACTCGTAGAAAGGAGTAGAAAGTTAGAAGATATTACAGAAATCGAAAGCCATAGTTGCAGTGCTAGCACTCGAACCAGTCACCTCCAAATACCCTGTGGAAACAAGCGCGCTTCTAATAAAGATGTCTTTATTAGCAATGTCTACCCTACGGCTCGAAATCCACAACTATTGAATACGGACAGAATTCAAACCGTTGAAATGGCACCATGGGTTACAGACATTTAATTTGACCAAGGATAGGCCGAATAACAAACACAATAATTATAAACACATAGGACCGTAATGCTGTGTCTAGAAGAGGGTACACGCAAGATAAGAGACAGTCTGTTGAAGATCCATTATAGCCAACCTTCACTGTGAAGACGGCAACTATTTGATTGAAATCTGTGTGTGTGTGTGTGTGTGTGTGTGTGTGTGTGTGTGTGTGTGTGTGCTTGTGTTTTTACTTGTGCATGTGAGATGGAATGTGTATTTATAAAATTATATTATATGAACTTTACATACTGTTGTTATTTGTAATGATATTCAGAATCATTATTATCATAAACCACTTCTGCCATTAAGTGACTTAGAGAGAAATAATCTGCGATCCAGTGCTATAATAGTACTGATATTATGGAGGCAAGTAAGCTTCAGATGTGACACCACCAGCACACTTGATGGAAAAAAATTAAGTGAAAGACAAGAAGTTACGTTACATGGATGGGATGGGAGCACAAACCTGGTGAGCATTTGAGACCACACACCCTGACTGACTACCTTTGTCGGAATGGCACCAGATGATAATGATAGTAATACCAAAATGGCATCAAGACTATACTGTTGAAAGTTATATTCTGTTCAGAAATCAACTCTTATAGACTGACGCAAATATCCTTCTAGAATACCTGCTGACATAGCAGTTGTTCCAAATGTCTCCACAGAGCCTTTTCAAAAAAGCACTTAACCTTATCAATGAATACTTGAAATTTAAATTCCCGCACAACAACCTCTCTAAGGTCATCTTATCAGAGCGTCACGACAACAGATAGTGACCGTCAATTAAAACTGATTGGGCAAAGCACAGTGGGCATTTCGTTTATAAACTGTTCAATATTCGTGTCCTCAAGCATCCACGTCTGTCTCCGTTCAACGAGTCTGGAAGCTACAGTTTTGATTAAAAAAAAAAAAAAAAAACATATTAATTACAGCATGGATAATAAAGGCATTCGTACAGTGGCACTGATTGTGGCTAGCTTCCTTGCTGTTTCAGCAGAAGTCATTCAGTTTAAAGATTGTCTCCCTTCTGAAGGTAAGTTTAAAAAAAAAAAAAACATTTCTGCAATGTCTTTTTTGAACTCTGTACTGGGTTATTTATACGATGGTCTCACCATTTACACACTACCGGTTGTAGGTTACCTCCATTGATAAGTTGGTTTGACTAGTCTACCATAGTCGAGGTTATGGGTGTTGCAGTCTGTTGTTGTCTTGCATTGACGTTTTTATTTCCGAGAAAGAGACGGCTTTTGACATAGGTTTTGTCACTCTCTAGGGTGTTGTGTATCAGACCCAGTATCTAAATGTTTTAGAAGTGTTTACAGCTCTGACATGGTGAAATATACAACACGCGATATCAGCGTGAGTGCGGAATATCACCGTAACCTTGTATAAAAGCTGGATCGTTCAAAGCCCACCTATCAGCAGTGAGGTGGTCAGTATGTCGTCCAATTAGAAGCGAGCTAGTGTGTAACGGTGTGTAAATTGGGAGACCAGAGTAAAATTTACCCTGTATTGATTGTGTTTCTTGTCTATGTCGTGTTGTGTCGTTGGTTACAATGTCATTCCATAGCCTTTTGTCTCTTGTACTGTCAAATTTCTATATAGGTATATTCTTCTCTAATTCATAATGCCAGACTAATATCCTGACAAGTACCTCTAGCGAGTGAAAATATATGAAACCAGAACAAAAGCACAAGACCGGAGACCAGCGAAGAATGGTAAACCAACACAGTCATGGCGTCCGAAATCGGTGCAAGCTCAGTGTCGTGTATCGATTTTATATTAAATGGTATAGTTACATTTTGTTGATAATTTATGTGCAATAAATCTAAGTTATGAGTGAAATTCAAGCTGCGAAAGTTAACTAACCTTTAGAAAAGTCCGAAGTTAGCGCACCTTATGGATGCATTCCTAGGATGCGGAACATTGGAGTTCCTAGCAGCTGATCATTATTAACGATATTTCTTTTGTAAGCCTCCAGGTACTGATCTACAGACAGGTTTCCGCTGAGACGATGTAGATGTCTTGTAGTCCCAGGCCAGTAGTTTCCTGTCATATTATGGTGCTTATTTAGACAATTAGACCGTCTTCTGGCAGCAAGGCCGAAGTATGTATTCTTGGACTTTGTTCTGTCTCTACATTTGTTCATGATGACGGTTAGGCAACGGCCTGCCTGTCTTACACTAAAGGGCCGCTTCTTGCACATGTGGATTTTTTGTAGCAACACCCCTTTTATCTGTCCCCCCCCCCCCTTTTCCCCCGACAAGTACAGTCAGATTAAATGAGCAGTTTTATGGAAGCGTTCTTCTTGTACTATTAGTTTCCATTCTGGTGGTACATTTGAGACCATGACAGTGTGCAGATATTTAGGCAATGCAATATTCATTATCTATGTCATGGTTGCCTTATGCTAGGGGTCACTTCTTGTATGAACTTATAATGTGTTCCTCTTGTACGAGAAACTTTTATTGTTCGTTTGTTTGCTTGTTTTGTTTCTAGACTACTTGATTTGGGGCGGCTGCCTGCGTTGACCTTCTTCTGAATGAATGAATCAAGTATTGACATCATTGCACTCGGGACATTCAACTCGTGCTCTGTCTCCTTCTTCAGCAACCAACAAAGAGTTGACATGCTATTTGTACTAGCTGCATCCTGACTGGAAGTCCACCTCTGTTTCTCCTTCAGTGTTGAATATCTTCCAGAACCTCTACACTCGCCCGTTAAATTAGTCCTTCAGTGTATAGATCTCCTATCTGTTCTGTTGCACTGTTTATTAGATCCTATAGAGGCTTCACCACATCTGCTTTACCTGTTGCCGAGTGGACCCATAATGGCCCCGGAGACGTCCTCTGTACATTATCAGCGTAGAATTGACCCCACCTGCTAGCAACACTGTCAGTCATCTTCTAAGAATAAAGACCAGAGTTAATACAACAAAAACAATGACTTGAAAGCTTAATAACGAAAAAGGAGGGAAAAGACACGTATAGATACGTTTCTACAACAAGCGTCGACACAAGTTTTAACCAGGAAAGAAAGAAAGACTGAATTCAAAATTCAAATTGGTTCCCAGATCGACCAGCCTTTAATGGCTATCAGGTAATGTCATGGGAGATAAAGGCGATTGGCTTGCTGTTGAGCAGTCCACCTCCGAGTGCCGACAGGCCTATACAAATATCAGTCTAGCAGCATCGGCCAGTGGCGGGAACTTTTCTCTCTTACTTTACAGCATTCACAGAATATATTGTTGGTTGTAGCTGCTTGTGTTTGTCAAATGTAACAGGTTATTTTATCTTCTGCAGGAGTTACTGGTCACGCCACGTCAGTTGAATTGAGCCCGTGTACTTCCCAGCCCTGCAACTTCAAACACGGACAGACCGTCAATGTGAAAATCACCTTTACCGCAAGTAAGATACCACCCCAGCAACAATTTCTATCACTGAATTTATCATTTTGTTGAAGAACGCTATCGATTCTAGAATTGTTATAGCTGTTTTTACAGGATGGTACAAATGATAACATCAAACTTGTAGGTGTAGTACTTCCAGTCTATCAATTAGGCGTTGTCTCCGCAATAAATGTTGGCTGCAATTATCTTCAAAACACTGTGTCTCTTGTCTAGGTTGTACACTCTCAGACTACTGTCATCCATCTCTTTTTGTTGTCCTCCCACGTGTATTGTTGTCTACCTCCAGCTCTGTTTACTTCGACATTTTCCCTTGAATGTGGTTTTAAACAGTTTTTTTTTCTATCCAAGTCTGAGAGGCAAGAAAGCAACAGTCTGCACGCAAATAAGCCAGATCTGTAAAACGGATGATCGCGCAACACTCAAGTCCTGAAAAAAGGCCAAAGTTCAAAGGTGGAGTAAGAACCAGGACTTTCGACTTGAGTTTTCATCAAATAATCACAAAGAAAAGTGTGTTATCACTTTAATGTTGCTAAAATGTTTCTATTGTTTCTATTATTTCTGTATGCAATTTTTTCCCTATGTAGTCTCTTCATAATATATATATATATATATATATATATATATATATATATATATATATACATTTTTTTATGGTTGTTGTTGCGTGGGAAAAAAAGGTTGGGGGGGGGGGGGGTTTGCTATTTTATGAACAGATATATATGAAAGATACGATGTTTAACTTTGCTTGAATTTGGAATTAAATGTCTGTTTTACCAGAACGGGGTCCGAGGGGACGAGAATGGTGTGTATGCAACTAGTGTACCACTGGAACGGTCAGCCACTTCTTCTTCTTGTTCTCCTCCTCCACCTTGTACCTCAGTGAAGTGTCGGGGAGGGGGGGGGAGGGGGGGGGGGGGGAATGTAACATTCGTTAATGAGCCAGAGCACTGTTAAGACTGGTGGTAATTTCTGTAAGGCTGTTCTTAATGCAACTGAACTTTAAAATTTTTCCTGTGGGAGAAAAGCGTTTAAGGCTACACATTGTAGGCTATTATGTCTATTCTTAAATCAGCAAATCAGTGTCTTCTTCTCTCACTTGTTATACGGACTGCCACTTTCTGCAACACGCAGTTCGTTACTGTACAATGTGTCACCTTACAGTCTCCGATAGGTCACTAATGGCTCCGATTGTTCCGATAGTTTCCAACTTTACACTTTTCGAAAAAAGCAAGACAGATTAGCTAATTCTGCACTACTTGGTGGTAATTTGCTGCATGCTTTGGGAGCCAGTAAACAGCGCGGAGGCACATCTAGACAACCACGGTCTGGAGAGAAGGGGACAGCGCGGAGGCACATCTAGACAACCACGGTCTGGAGAGAAGGGGACAGCGAGGAGGCACATCTAGACAACCAAGGTCTGGAGAGAAGGGGACAGCGAGGAGGCACATCTAGACAACCAAGGTCTGGAGAGAAGGGGACAGCGAGGAGGCACATCTAGACAACCAAAGTCTGGAGAGAAGGGGACAGCGAGGAGGCACATCTAGACAACCAAGGTCTGGAGAGAAGGGGACAGCGAGGAGTGACCAGGCGATCTGTGCGACCCTTAGCACTCAGCGGTGGGGGCGAGACGGGCAGACA